TGGAGCTGTCGTTGGTCATGTCATTCATCCAACTAGCGTCTATTTCCTTAGCTATTCATCAATGATAGAGGGCAAGCAGCAAAAATGACTGCATATGTATGAGATGGGAATGATTAAGGCTTGCTTCAAGATGAGCATGCTATCAAAATTCATGCCAATTGACCTGCTTTATCAAATCCCGAAATCCCGGGATTTTTCAGAACTTAAATCCCGGAATCCCTTGCAAACCCTATTCATGACTCTTTGCTAACAGAGACATCCAAACATTACGGACAACGATTTCGTTTGGTCCATTAGTTTAGATCACTTCGGAAATAGCTTCAAAATTTCGGACACTTGAGTCGAATATCATCAGGGCTTTTTGAATGTGCCAAGGAAAATCTGCTAACCATACAGAAAGAATAATAGGGCAAACTGTGAATGAACTGAAAATGGCAATCTTTACAGACATTTCACAGAACAACACGTGGCCCAGTTTTAAACTTACTTATTTCTTGACGGTTTTGAAATTGTACGATAAGACCGGCGAGAATGCCAGCAATGGCAACAACACCAGCGATCAAGTTCAATAACCCGAAAAGCTTCATCCCAAATCTAAAAGTCACATTCCTCACCAATCAAATGTACATGCACAAATAATACGCTATTCTCGACGCGTTCTTATATCGTCTATTACCGAATGGATTTGTTTTCTGAAAATATCCAATGATGCCACCGAATTTCATCATTGCGGGAAATGTCACTGTAACATGAACAGTGGGCAAATCGATTCGTGAAAGTTGAAGGCGTGGCTGAATTAATTCTCATCGTTGTGATATCAAGTCAGTTAGATTCGTACGTGATGGTACTTACTGGGTTGACTGAGCGCTTGAAAAAGACTGATTATAAGATTCTTTCTTGTCAGCAATTCGGAGATGAGTGAAAACCAGATTCATCGAGTGACGAAAGAAGAAAAATCGGTATTCGTATTATGCTTATAAGTCCAACAAAATGAATTCATGTTGAGCCAAGAAAGTATACAAGACAGTCAAATGGAAACGTTGGAAATTCGTTGGGAGATTTTTCTTATGCTTTTATGGCGTAATCGAAATGAGCAAAATTGAAAATTTGGAAAGTGATGAGACCGATGTCGAGTATTGAATCGAAACCGAGGTTTTCGTAGATTCTGAGCGCCCTTTAATCAACCAAAGCAAACAATCCAAGATCTGAACATCAAGTGACCGAGAGCAGTGGACGTCTGATCAGTCAAAACATTGTCAGTCTGTGAAGCACATTTGCCATTTGTGAAAGCTCTTCGCAAAGCTGACTTAAAAGCTTCTCGCTAATAGATCAACAAAAATCAATTACCGTTCGATAGTGATCAAAAAAGTGTGTATTGATAACGTCTCCCATTCGACTGTTTATATAGGATTAGCTAAATGCTTCCTGAGAATTCTATATCATGTGAGCTGATTGCTTATCATGTGAGGCGATTACATCACGCCTTTATAGATGCTCAAAAACTTTAAAGACGTCAGGGTTTTGGAGGAGCATTGATCATCTTCTTGTTCGATTCTGTTTATTGCACTGTTTATTAGCTTTGTTATCAGTAATTATATTCTTTTTAGCAGTGAGTGAAAAAATCTTGTCAGTCCCAAAGAGCAAAGTATAGTGCATGAGATACGATAAGCATAAGAATATTGTTTCCTATTTCTTACCGATCGCCTAATCAAAACTTCTTCAGTGAGTGTTGGATGAGAAGAATTCCTGAATGATTGAAATTGATGCATTGGTTGAAAAGTTTTGGAGAAATATACTTGAAAAATACTGTTCTAAAATGCAACAAATTTCGAAAGACTCGGAAATGCAAAACCTTCTTTTAATTATTTCAAAATGTTGCGAAAATTTTGAAATTTTGCAAAGTTTCGAATGCGAAATGGTTCAATTTTCGTTATTCTGCTCGAAATTTCAAAAAAAAA